ATATTTGAGGTCATAGTTGTTGCCTTTTCCTTAGGAACGTCTGCACCTCTATTTATACCCCGAGTGTGCACTTCTTACGGTGCGAGCCCCATCCACAAGAGTGGCGTCTATGGGCGTCCAATGTAATCTAGTTCGTAATCGGATCGGGCTTCTTGAGGAGCCGTTCTCCTAGTTGGCGGTGGTGCCTAGGGCAACCACCTACAAGGTTGCTAAGCCAACCCCCTCCTACTCGTGATCAGGGGAAAGCCAACATCCCTTCTTAGTCATAGCACGTCCAAACCTCTAGGAAGTGGTTTGAGATATTCCTCCTCCTCACCCGAGCACAAAACTCAAATCTCAAGAGTCGGATTGTCTCACAAAACCGGCGAAGTACCTTTCGACAGAAACGGTTCACTTTAGGTCGATAACAGGGATGACTCATAAAGCAACGAACCATTGTCCTAGACGCTTCATAGAATGAGGGGAACCCTCAAACTCCGAGTGGAATCGTTAATCCCTTCTTCCCTCGCAAAAGTAGCTTAGACGAAATAGAGACTTGGAAGGCAGAGAAAAATATTAATTTGGATAGGAACAAATACAGTTGGGTCGTTAGGGAAAGAATTGGTCACCCTGGGGAAAGGGCAAAGTCAAATTGACTTTTTTTTTATTGCCATGAGTTGGGGGGTTACATGCCGACTACAGAGCGAAGTGTACGAGAATTGTCGTGTCCGTGGGTGTTGTGTGTGGTGTGTGTTGAGTTGAACACTACAGCCTTGCCGGGGTGGGGTGGATATCACGACCGGTACAATTCCACTTTTGAACACCTTGTCCTTGCTGTAGTGGTTAAGAGACTTCAAGTTGGCTCTTGAGGCCGAGGTCGCCGGTTAGAATCTGTGCGTGCACAGAGGAGGACTTATGCCTAGACGTACGAAATTCATACTACTACTGTTTTTTTGGCACCCGTTGGCCGTTGAATGAACATTTTTTTGAAAACATATGTATACATGGTATGCAGGCGGGTTCACAACAGGATGAAAGACAATTCCTTTTATTATCCCAATAGGCACAATCAATCTCACTTTTGCAAATATCAATTTACCTATTTGCACATCAAACAAAACAAACGAGTTGGACAATAAAAACAGCAAAACCTTTTATCTATGTCAGACCCCATTTTTTTAAATGCACAACACACCATCTCTACTTTACCTTTCTTTTAAATACTCCATAAGAGCAGGGTCAAGCAAAGTGTGGGTGCACACATGTGTGAAGGGGAATATGAGTCATTCAACTGACCTTGAGTGAAGTCGTGCTGAATGCAACCCGGCTCACCCAAAAAGTCAATAAGAAAAAGTATACGTGTCGTTGAAGTAGAACCACGGTCCCACGACAAGTCCCAAGTCAACCTTTAATCACAGTCCACCACCAACTCGCACGTCCCATACACGGTAAGCTAAGTGTGGGAACAACAAGCTGCACATGTCTCAATAAAATGGGTCCCATACGATCCCAGATGGTCCCGCACTACCGGTCACAACATCAGATGGTCCCAACCACTAAAATCTTTTGCATCTCACACTCCCCAAAAAATTAAAGGTGGTTCAAGACGCAAAAACTGCAGGTACCACGAACCCCAACAATCACCACACCAAACGCACACACTCCAAGTAGTCTCGCTTGTCCTAAAATAACCCCTCAATATCGGAAAGTGGTTCCAACGGTCCCACCTGTCTATATCGTGTGCACAACCGCAGTAAAAAAAAAAAAAAACGCATGAAGTTTCAAAAAATCCGACCTTTAGAACTTCGCTTAAAACATGTACCAGTGCTCGTACCACTACGAGACTACACCGGTCCACCCAATTTCCAAACGTCGCATGAGTGTAAAAAAAAAATAAAATAAATAAATAAAAAAATGGCGGAAATACCGCCCACTGCTCCGTCCAAACCAGTACCACAGCCGCACAGCGACACCACCACCCGATCACACACAAAGTAAAGGTTCATTGTGCCAAAACAATTGGCAGCACTTCCCCTCAATTTACCACTGTTAGACATGCTGCAAATTTGGCAGCATAACGCTGCAAAAGTGGAAGCCACCGAAGCTGCAAAATTTCGGTAGCATCTCCCTACAAAATGGGGATCAGCTCGCCACGAAGTGAGCCCGCCGACACTTCCGCCAGTTCTACCACGGTCACTTACCAATCCTCCTGCCTTCTAAAATTTCCCGCCCCCCTGCGAATCCCTCAAAAAATACATTCACCCTCCTAACTACCCCGCTGGGCCTTAACGAACGACCGGCATAACTATATCTGAAATGAAAAAAGCCTCAGGTGTATGAACATGAACCCAATCCCTACGGGCTTCGAATTTCTGACCCCATAGCCGGGGGAAGAGGTCCCGCTTCCGGTGCCACCGGAGCTACATTTACCGGTAGTCCAAGTGAGAGGTCCCATTATTATTGTTGTTATGATTATTATTATTTAGGTCCCATTATGGATTCGCCTTGGTCAAGTGAGAGGTCCCATTATTATTGTTATTATGATTATTATTATTTAGGTCCCATTATTATTGTTATTATGATAATTATTTAGGTCCCATTATGTATTCGCCTTGGTCCGTACACAACGAAAATTGTCGGCTGATCCTATTCGGGGGAGTCCCAGAAGGCTTTGCTCTGGACAAAGGCTGGGGTTATGTTGCTCAATCCATCAGAGCATGCCTGTTTTTGGTCATCTGGGAAGTTAGAAACAAATGTGCGTTCGAAGGAAGGTTCATGGCGGATCAGTCTATCAAGGCGGCAGCAAAACTACACATCAGAAGAAGCATCAGATCCAACTGGAGACGTAAGATATCAGCATCAGCACAAAGAGCAGCAGGCTTGATCTGGTTCTTAGAAACATGGGCAATCCAGGGGAAGTTGGCCGGGATTCAGGAGGGTAAGTTGGTATTGGATGAATGGTTGGTTAGCATAGAATAAATACCTGGGCACTCGGTAGGTCTCCATAGTAGGAGGGCAATGTAAGGGACTTGGGTTTGGAGGGAGTGCCACGGAAAGTTGAGCCCTGGCTCCCCTACCCCGTGTTAGGGGTGGGCCGTTATGTTGGACTGGTATTTAAGGTTGCTGGCTGAACATCAGGGGCTGGTCCCCTTGGGGTGAAGTCCCACCCCGTAAGCGAAACTGGGTAATGCTCCCAGCCTTCCGGGTAGACTGTGACGACCCCGGCCTCGTCTGATTGCATATTGATAATATAAGCCTTGGGCACTGGGCCCGTGTTTGATGGAAAAAAATAAAATAAAAATAAAATTGTCGGTTGGAAACTCAAGGGTGGGGGACGATGAGAAAGGGAGGCACAGCAACTGGCAGGTCTCAGTCTTTGTGTTAGCCAGACCCCCCCTGGCGGCCCCAACCCTATACCCTATCCATTTGGGGCAAGGGGCAAAATGAAATCCCCCCTTCACAAAGAGAGGAAAAACTATGCTTGCAGGGGTCCCCTCTAGATAGTCTTAGGAGTAGGTAGTGGAAGGTAAACAAAAACAGAAGTTGAGAGAAGAATATAGACAGTTGTGATCACCCCAATAAAAAAAAAAAGAAAAAAAGGAATCGGGGTTAGAAAAAAAAAAAGAAAAAAAGAAAAAACAAAAGAGAATCGGGGTAAGTGGGACCATGCCGCAGTGTTCTGGCTTTGGGACCCGTCTCCGGTTCTGCAGCTGTTTGTGGCGGCCGTCCGGCAGCGGCGACATGACAATGACAATGACAAGCAGCGGCCGTCGATCGATTGGAGCCGAACGGTGACCACTACGGTACTACCGTAATTTTCGAAGTTGCAAACTTTGAACTTGCAAGATGTTGGCAGGGGTCAGTGGATGGCGGGAGGCAGGCAAGGTGGTGGTGGTGAACAGAGGTCCATTTTCTTGGAGAGGGTCTGGGCGGGAGTAGGTCCCATGGCTCGACGCGCAGGGACCGATCGCACTTGATCTCAACTCGAATCAGTCGTTCTGACGTTGTGGTGCTCAAACGCCATCGCCGAGGCACTGCAAGCCCGGCTACGGCAAACACTCCAGCCGCGGCAAACATACCAGCCGCCGCGCATTGATCTGAGAGAGAGAGAGAGAGGTTCTGGAGATCTTCTCTTGGAATTGCCGATGGGCAGGGAGGAGGGAATCGCCGGCCTGGCGCATTGATCTGAGTGTGTGTGTGTGTGTGTGTGTGTGTGTGTGTGTGTGTGTGTGAGAGAGAGAGAGAGAGAGAGAGAGAGAGAGAGAGAGAGAGAGAGAGANAGAGAGAGAGAGAGAGAGAGAGAGAGAGAGAGAGAGAGAGAGAGAGAGAGAGAGAGAGAAATAAACGTTGCAGGTCTATCTACGTGCCAGATCTGATGTATGGCGTTGTCGGCTCGGTTTTGGGCAATTACTGCGCGCCCTTGACAATGCCGGCGAATGGCATGTGTGAGGCGGCTGTTTTTTTTCTTGTAGCAGAACTGATTTGATGAAATTGGACCAAATCGTCCATACTTGTTGGGATATGAGATTGCAGCAGTCTTGGCGGGGCAAGAGCTTGGATACAGTTTTGGCGGGGAAGAAAGAGATTGGGCACAGTTTTGGCGGGGCAAGAGCTTGGATACAGTTTTGGCGGGGAAGAAAGAGATTGGGTACAGTTTTGGCGGGGAAGAAAGAGATTGAGTACAGTTTTGGCGGGGAAGAAAGAGATTTCGTACAGTTTTGGCGGGAAAAGAAATTGGATACAATTTTGGCGGGGAATCAGATTGGATGAAGTGAGAACGTGGAACTAAGTGGAGATAAGTGGAGACGCAAAAGTGCTGTGTGTTTGATAGATCGAGAAAAATAAATAAATAAAAAAAAATAGAGATCTGCGCTGTCGGAGTAGGGATTTTTGCTTGTTAGATCAGGTCTTACAGATTTGCACTTTTTAGAGTCGAGATTTGCCTATCGAAGGAGCAGAGATCTGCATCTCTTCCATCGAAAAGTTGGTCCTGAGACGGCGCACCGTGCCGAGGAGTAGGAGTAGAGATTTGCATCTTCCAAGGAGTAGGAGTAGGAGTAGGAGTAGAGATTTGCGTCTTTTAAGGAGTAGAGATTTACTGGAACGATCGCGATCCCGACAATGTATGCCCACCGGACGCTCTTGGAACAGGTGGAGTGCCTGGCGTCTGGGGCTGTCGTTCTGACAGGGCAGCAAAAAGCAGACCTATCTCAGTCGCTGCAGCAATTCGAGGAAACCTTTCGCAACCTCTTGAGCCATGCGGTACGTTTGGGCTCTTTCCTCCTCTCCTCCTCCCTCTCCGCCCTCTCCTCCTCTCCTTCCTCTCCTCCCTCTCCTCCCTCTCCTCCCTCTCCTCCTCTCCTCCCTCTCCTCTCCTTCTCTCGTGATCGTCGTCTTCTTTTCCCTTCGTTTCCATACCTGTCGTCGTCCTCTTCCTCCCTTTCCGTCCCTCTACCTTTGTCTCCCTGGATGTCTTCCTTTCCTCTCTACCTCTCTGCCGTATCCCTCCACTCCCTCTTCCTCTCCCTCTCCTAACCCTCCCTCTCTCTCTCCGTCTCCTCTCTTTTCCTGCTTCGCGAGTCGTCTGCCTCCCCCGTCTTTCCCCTTGTTCCTCTCCATCCCCTTCCTCTCGCTTCCTCGCTGCATTTCCTCCTTCCTTCTCCCTCCCCTGCCTCCCTCTTCCTTCCTCTTCATCCCTTTGCTCTTCTCTCTTTTCTCCCTCTCCCTCTCGTCCTCTCCCTCCTTCTCCCTGCTTCTGTCTCTCTTCCTCTCTCTCCCTACTCTTCCTTGTCAATTAGCCCATCTGATAAATTGGCGAGTTGATAACCCTTGAAACTCCCTGCAGCTTTAACCCCCATTTGAGTGTTGTATGCCCCCCCCTCCTCCCCCTGCCCTCCCTTCGTCCTCCCCCTCCCTTCCCCCTCTAATATTTTATCCACGGGCCTCGCTCCCACTGCACAAACTTGTTAATATCAAGAGAGCTTTTTTTTTTTTTTTTTTTTTTTTAATTGATGGTTCCGATTCACTCCGAATGTTGGGTCAGTCGGAACGAATAGGGTTAAGATTCTTGTCCACATACATACATGTAAATGCTTGTGTAGTGGAGGGAGACCCTATCGCACGATACGATTCAACCCGTTGTGCCCCGTCCTCTGCCACAACACTCGTCCATTGAAAGTAAAATTGTTGATGACAATGAATTTTGCTGATGAACAACTCTTATGTTCCCAACGTCATCGTCGTACGATGGCGCCTCTTCGGTGGCGCTCTTTCTTTGGGCGGCGCTCGACAACTCGACTTTCCAGACGTATGTGGACTGTGTGTGGACCAGATACATTCGGAATGATGGAACGTTTTGAAGGTATGGGGACCATTTCCAGCCCCAGATGCGTTCAGAATGTTGTGCAGGGGAACGAGGACCTTCCACGCAATCGGAGACGCTAATGCACGCATCAACATTCGCGCATTCACCAGAAATTAGGAATTCGCTCCGGTGCGTTCCTCGCAAATCATCAGTGATGAAAGCGGGAGAGGGTTTTTGCACACACACACACACACACAGACACACACACACAGAGAGAGAGAGAGAGAGAGAGAGAGAGAGAGAGAGAGAGAGAGAGAGAGAGAGAGAGAGAG